ATATACATATAAACAACCTAACGGACTACGCTAAAAATCCAGGATCTTCCCTTAATCTTACTTGAACAAGTCTTTCGGGAAAACTCAAAATCTTTTCTGATTGACCTCAGCTTGATTGATTGGTCCATGATTTTGTGATATAAACTTATAGTCATGCATAGAATAATACTAAAGATATGATGGCTATCCCAAGATGTTGATTTGTTTAAGATCTTGGGGCATTCAAGATATTAGTATAATTTCATGATGTAAGACATGATAAAGTAAAGGTTAAAATGTTATCCATAAAAATTGTCGATAGAAATTTCCACTCCAAGATCTTTGAAGTTAAAGATTTCTAGAATTATATTCCTGCCGTCCATGTGGTGAAGAGGTGGGACGTCTGATTAGTTTCCTAAGAAATTTGAAATTTCATTAGTCCGATGGCTAAGTATTTCCTTTCCTATAAATTTTCTCTTTGATTGTTACTTTCTTACCATCAATAATTCGACCATTCAATAGGTAACCTTTTTGTATATCTATCTTTTTTTTTTCTCAACATGGGTAAAACTCTTATTTTGGTTATATAGTGACATATTATAAACAATTTTCTATACCCCATGGATATAATAAAAACAATTACCAACCGAAAAAATGTAAGTTATAATATAAGTTAATAATATTTTAGTCATATACTAACACATTTCAAAATAAGTTTAAATAGAAAGAAAAACGATGCGATTAATATACACCAATAACGCGATTTTAAAGATATTCTTATGCCTTAAATTATAATTATAAAAACTATCTGAATTAATTTTTTTTGTTTGAAAAACAACAAAGTTTTATACGAAAAAATGATGGGTTTTAAAGGTTATAAAATACTTGTAAGTGTGGAAAATCATTTAACATTTAAGGCAAATTTAACCTATAAGGATCTATGTCATAGCACTTTGAATGTAACATACAATGAACAACAAAAACTAACATGAACCCTAATGTAATTGAAAATACCAAGTTAGGGTTACATACATTTGGTTTGTTATAGTAGACAAATAATTCCAGTCCCTTGTAGTTGTTAGTCTTGGAAAGCTTAGTACCAAAAGGATGATGTTTTTAATAACTCACATCCAAACCCTAAAATTAGAAGACAAGAGAGGAGAGATGAGGAAGTAATTTTCGGCTAGAGTATCCTCTTGGGAATATGGTGAACGAACATTAAAAGCCTTATGGTTCTTTTTATAGTGTAGATGACATAAGGAAAACCATAGATTTGAATAATAAAAGATTCGGATTTAATATATTCAAATATGGTATCCTTACCAACTTTATGAATATTCCATAAACCCTATAATCCTTCCTAAAAAGAACAATGAAAACTCAACCCTTGGACCTTTTATTAATTCCATTTAATACCAAAGGGCTTGTAGCCCAGCGGCATTAGGTGGTGCCCTCCCTCTTTGAGGTCGAGGGTTCAAGTCCCGTTGTGGACATAGGTGGAATAGGTGTTGTTAGCTTAGAAGTAGATTAGATTTGCCGGTTAAAAAACAAAGTAATCACATAATAAATTGACAAATCAACTGTCTATTTCCAATTAATATATTAATCATATAATATTTTAACAAAACATTTATTACAATATTAATCGTATAATAAACTAATAAATTTATCCTTTCTCTACAAATGTCATTCTAACAAAGTTCTAGTTATGAGGGCAACCTAAAAAGGACTCTGCTTTCAATTACAAGAATATATCAATTTACTTATGAGCTTAGACACCTTAATCCAACAGTATCCCACTTGGATAAGTCTATATCTACAATTGCAAAACAACCTAGAACCAAACAACCAATTATGCTATCCAAAGCCAATGGAAAACTCTGATTCAAATAAAATGTTAGCCCTAAGATAAGTGATAAGTTATCCATTCATTTTGCAAGACATCATATGAACATAGTCATGGATTAAATGATCAACCTAATGTTCATTTGTTTGTTTCTCGGTCTCTAATTTTATGATCAAATTTAGATTACAAAATCAAACACATAAATTTAGTCCGGATCAGGCGCCTGGTTTTCAAAGATCACTTCAAATCATCAAGGGGCCTAATGATATCGCTTTTTCTGTTAAGGTAAAAGGAACGAATAAACTTTGAAAATATAATATAACATTTTACTCATCAAATCATGAATATAATTACACTTCATAACACCCAGTTATGAGTTGCATTGGAGTAAACCAATGCACACTTTATAACACCCAGTTACATGTATCGACCTCATATGACGTCGATGTTCTAAAGTCAAAGAGACTGAGCCATCGATATTATAGAATGTTCCACTAGAACTCGTTACTTGAAACAATTTTGTGGTTATGAAGTCTCGAATTCAAGAAACAGTCCTTGAACAATTCTCTTGCATTAAAATTTCCAACTCACATGTAGATTCTACAAGCATCTCCCATTATGGAAACATTTCCATATGACCATATGACCATCAATTCTGACCAAGAAGCATCTCAATCCAAAACGTGTCACTATGGTCCTTCCCAAATAATATCATACTTCTAACTGTCCACAAGAAAACGGTCTTCGGTAAGACCTTAGAATGTTCTTGACAGTTGCCTAACAAATTTAGTCACACAAAATTCTAATCCTTTTCTTACAATGCTCAAAGCATTTGGAAAATTAGAATAAGTACATATTATATCATATGTGATCGATCCTCTATCCAAAACATATAGGAATCAACTCATTATTACTTATACAAGGATTTATTATTGTAACGCCCTTTTCCCAAAATGGATCAGTTGAGGGCTTGGTGGACTCAAAGATCAGATTTTTGGGAAAAACTAGGTGCCATGACATGGTGATTGGAGTACTACGATGTGGCAAGGGAAAGGCCACAACGTGGGAGCTGTGGTAGCCTAAGCCCATGGTTTTTAGAGTTTTCTCCATATTTAAACACTTATTCTCAAGGATTAGGGCATCCTTTTCAGCCTCCAACCCTTTCAAACGAAACCCTAGTATCCTTGGAGTGATTCTTGTTGTATTAATGGTGATTCTTGAAGTTTGAAGTTTTCACTTGCATTTTGGAAGAAGGAAAAGTGTTCTTGTTAACTGGAAGAGTGCATCCCTTCCGATCTTACACCTCATGCATCTTGTGGAGATTTGGAAGGTGTAAAGCTTCCACCTTGTAGGTTGGTCTGATGAGATAAATATTGCAACTTTATAGCTCACCTTGGTCCATTGGTCACTGTATCTTTTAGATTTGAAGTTTGATTGTGTTTTGATATCTACACATGCGATTTTGATATTTTTGTCCCATTTTGAACTAGTTTGAGATATATACTTGCATTGGACATGCATATACATAAAGCTACAAATTTTATGTTGGAATAGAAGTAAAAAAAATCCTTCTGGATGTTTTGGATTTGTGGCTTGGTGATTAAGAGCTTAATGGTTGAGTCAATGCCTTAAGTTGACATTAAGGACCTAGGTTTAGAGATATAGACTCATTAGGATATATTAATGGGTAAAGTGGGAAACTTTCTCCATCAAGACCTTTGGAAGGACTGAATATAAGCTTTGGAGCTCTTGAGGTTAAAGGAAAACAATTTAATCCATTAGGTTGTTGAGACCCAGTTCCTACAACGTGGC